CCCCAAATAGCACAATTCCAGTGGGCATGTTGTTGAGAGCCATTTTCGTACATAAAATTAATTCAAACACAAAATTAGTAACTCGGAAGGAAAGAAGGACAAAACACACAAAAACCTAGGTATATAGCTAAATCCGTTTAACTCCCCCGTCAACGGCGCCAAAAATTGATCTCGCCCAAACTCACACAATATTTAAAGGTAGCGAGGAGGTCTAAGTAATAATAAAACCCAACGCGAGTCGGGGTCGATTCCTCAAGGAGTTAGAAATGGGATTAAGTATACACCTAGTGTGAATGTATGATGTGCCTAAGATTGTACTTCCACATATTTTGTGGTTGTTTCTATTTCTACTTTTAACTAATAATTGCAAATAATAAACTAGAAGACAATGTTTTTGGTTTTGGGTGTTTTTCAAATTATAAACGATCTAGGATCGTGGCTTCCACCTAAGTGGCTACCTAACGGGTTGTAAACTATAGGGCTAGTTTGATTAATCGGGATCGCAATATAGCAATCACTCGCAATTGCTCACTCTATACCTTTCGGTAGTTTGAGTGATTTTGCCCAATTTGGCTTTCTCAAGCCCAAATGGGTATTGCACAAATCAAGTGATATATGCTCAAGTCGGGTCTTACTATCTCTAGATTTGACCTTTTAATTGGGGCTATCAATTTCTTGAATTCACCCCAATTCCCTGTTAGCCAAGTTTTCTGTAACACCCCGTGCATTCGGACTAGGTGTGGATGTGTTAAATGGGTATTAATCTGATATTATAGACATATGAAGTCCTAGCGAGATGAGTATGGATGAAAATAGTTGTTTTAGAATCAAGATGGAGAATGAGGTACATAAGATTCGATAAAATCTACGAAGTTTACAAAAGGTCAGTTTTGTAGAAGGTTTAGTGAAAAACGTGTAAGCTATTTGGGAAAACACAACACACGAAAGTTGTAGGCCTTTGAATATCTTTCCGACAATATATTATGGAGCCCGAACGGATCTCTTTGCAAAAGGTTATGCGCGTTTTACAGAACAGTGTGCAATATACGCGCCCTGAGCGCGCCCCGAGCGCGGCCGCGCTCCTGTGGCAGTGTTACTGCCATTTTGCGTGGTCAGGCCTACAGGTGCGCGGGGGCGCTCATGGGGGGTCACTTTAAAGCCCTACTTCGTCCACCACAGCCCCAAAACACAAAAACTTGCTCTAGAAAGGGGAGCTCTCAAAAACCTAACTCCTTAAAGGTCCCTCCACCATCCAAGGTAAGTTCTAATGGTGATTCTAAGTTAATTTCAATTTTCCAACATCTTATTAACATGGGTAAACCCTCCATATCATTGGATATTCTATTGGGACATCATTGTTGAGAGAATGAACCCTAGAACTCGAATTCAAGAAGATTGAACGTCAAGAGGGTAATATCTTCACCCTCTAATTGATTATAGCGTTGGATTAATGATTGTAAACTACAAGTTCATGAGATATGAGTTGATGGGTTTGATAGAAAAGCATGAATAATTATAGGTTTTGCTTGTTGATTGTTGATTATTAGTTAAGGGTGTTGTTTATCTTATGGGTGAAAAAGAATGACAGTGATTATAAGAAATTTGAGATTTTAGAATTTATCTAGGATCAAGAGAATGGCTTGTTGGGTGTAGAAACACCATTAATAAGGACTATGAAGCTTTATGTCACCAAGTGTCTGAGAAAATGCTTAAGTGACCAAAACATGAGAATTATTGCTAATATGGAATCCCTTTGACTTGTATTGATATAGATTAAAGTTGAAAGGGTTGGCGAATGTTGTATTACGCTCAAGAGCAGGAAATTAAGGTATGTGAGGCTAACTCTCTATGTTTGGGAATGTTAATAATTCTCCCTACATTATGTTTCTTTTACCACGTTACTAATTGCCTCAGAAATATAGTTAAGCCTAGTTCCTTGAATAGTTACAGAACTTCTATTCTCTAGCTTCATAACTCGTTCATGACATTCATTCTGAACGTTGTGAGCTCAGTGCGTATTCAATATAGACTTGGGTTTGATGCCCCCGAGTCTTAGTATAGATTACTCAGTATGCCATAAACAGTTGAAGTTTCAGTGTTTATAATTAGTTCAAGAATACATATCTCAGTCTAGTCCTATTCAGTATTCCAATATTATGTAACTCAGTGTGATCCAGTATTCCAGTATTATGTAACTCAGTGTTATCTAGTATTCCAGTATCATGTAACTCAGTGTGATTCAGTACTTCACTATCATGTACTGCAGTATGATTCTCAGTTCCTGATTTTAAATCTCTGAATGTTGAACACCTGTATTTGGGACTGAGGCCGTAGTTTATATGCTTTATGCATACTTGGACCTGAGGCCATAGTTTATGCTTTATGCATGTTTGGGCCTGAGGCCGTAGTTTATGCTTTATGCATTTTTGGGTCTGAGGCCGTAGTTATGTATACATATACTTGGGCCTGAGGCCGTAGCTTGTGCACATACATATTGGGCCCGAGGCCGTAGCTTATTCAGATAAACAAGTTGTTCATCATTCAGAAGAGGGAGTATTCATATCCTTACTTCCTTTGTTCAGTTCAATTATTAGTTATCATTTCAGTTACCAGTTATCAGTTATCAGTTATCATTTCAGTTTCAGTTTCAATAGTTATCATTTCAGTTATCAATTATCAATTCTCAGTTGTCAACTCAATTTCAGTTTCAGCACTTATAAATCTTTCTTTCAGTTGCTTTACATACCAGTGCAATTCAAATGTACTGACGTCCCTTTTTCCCGGGGCCTGCATCTCACGATGCAGGTAATGATTTATAGGTTGATGATTCAGAGCGGTAGGATTCTCGTACCAGCTATTTGGTGATCCCGAGTTCTTTCGGGGCATTATCATTACTTTACAGTCTTTCAGTTTTTTTCAAACAGTCAGCATTTTCAGTACTTCATTGGAGGCTTCATAGACTAGAGTAATAGGCTTTTCATATTAAGCTATGTTGGCTACAAATTTGTTTCAGAATTGTATTAGTATTCCCGCACTTTGATTTATATCATCCAGACTTTCAGTATATCAGCATGTGTTAGTTTATCTTCCGCATTCAGTATGTTATGATATCACATGTTGATCCAGCCAGCCAGTTGGTTCGCTCGGTCACATGTAGTCAGGCACCGAGTGCCGTGTTACGTCCAGGCCCAGGTTTGGGGCGTGACATTTTCCTAAACTTAGTCTCTCTTTCTCAAGTAAAGACTAGGTCAAATAAGCATGAATCAGTGTTTGCAACCATTAATTCTAGAATTCAAGCATAAACAAGGCTAAATATCACTAAACCCAATCACAAACAAGTCCTAAAATTAAATACCCATTAAGTACCCACACTAGGGTTGAGCCACAACCCTAGTTAAAGATTTAGCTACTCATAAAAAATAAAGAAATACAAGAGAAACTTAAGATAGAATGCATAATAATTGATTCGACAACAAAAATCTAATGTTTAGAAGTTAAACTAGTACAAAATTACTCTAAAAAGTAAAGAAAACGGCTCAGGTGCACTTCTGAAAATCGAACTTAACGTAAGAATGACAAAAAGCTCTGTTTATACTAAGCTAAAAATATCTGACAAAAATGCCCCTGCGAAGGTTGTGCAGCCGTATAATTGTGGTGCGGTCCGCACAATGGGCTTCTGTGGCCGCACAATTATCGTGCGGTCCGCAGTCTCGGGAATTTGGGCTTGGAACATAAGCTTCTGCGGTCCGCATAAAAGTGGGTGCAGTCGCACTTAGGATAATGCGGTCGCATAAAAGTGATGCGGTCCGCACTCCTTTACTTTCCAGCTCTCTGAATCTTCAACCCTGCGGACCGCATAATAATGGATGCGGCCGCGCAAATTTAGTGTGGTCCGCACTCCCTGAGCTGGCAAAAACACTACTCTTTGAATCTCCCTTCTGCGGCAGCACTAGAATTGTGCGTCCACACTGCTAGCCTTTTTGCCCAATTTTGGTTCTTGTTCACTTTTGACTCCTTTATGAGTTTATTTTGCCTTCTTTGGCTTGTTTCCCAATATTCCTGCAAGTAAGCACATTTCGTCATTTTTCGGGAATACGTTTAAGCATTTTTTAGCTAAAATGCAAGTAAAAGAGAGCAAATAAACCGTCAAAATCCCTACTTAGCAATATGAATAAGGTTCCTTGCTTCTAAATCAATGGTGATCAATGTAAAACTATCTGGGTTTGTTTAATTAACTCAGTTTAAGGAATTACTTACATTACCTTCTTTTCTATAAAAATGAAATGTACGAGAACTTGGTGGATAATTAATTAATCCAAATTCTTCAATCACACTTTCCTCGTTGCTTAGCGTTTTTGTTTTCTTCACGTCTCTCTCTCTCGTTAATGCAAGAATATTAGCATCGTGCACGATTTTGCATATGGAAAAACCACACAATTTTTACGTACTTGATTTATATGTCTATAACGTTTGACACCTTAAGAGAATACAGATAGCTGATGAAGTGAGGAGTTAAAAATTTCACTAATACAACAACAACGATAACAACAACGTAGTATATTCCCATATGTGGGGTCTTGGGAGGATAAAACGTACGCAGACCTTACCATATCTAGTGAAAGTAGAGAAATTTTTTCCAATAGACCCTCGGCTAGAAATTTCACTAATGAGTGTCAAATATGTAAGAGGATCTATATATATCAATACAATATAATACAATATAATTTTTCGGCGTCCTTAGACATGGCTCCGCCAGGGCATATGAGTTATGTAGGTGATCACTGATCTGATGATATCAAAGTATTTTTATACTGTCAATTTACATAAATTAAACTCTTTCAACAAAAAAGGAAACTTCTTCGCCATAATGTGAAAGTTCTCAACGTCTTTCTCATATCATGCATTAGATGACACCGCTCATCATAATAGCTTGTAACAATCTATGACGTACTCTTTTTGCAACCCTCTATATATGTAAATTAACAAAAACTCGACATTATTACTTCTATATATACAATGTTATCTTCTCGTTTAGTGTGAATAGAATGGATTTGTTGTGTGTTGTTTTTCTGTTGTTTAGTGCATGTGAAGCAAAGTTGCAGCTACCACAGGGTGTTGTTATAAAGGCAGCTTTCGCTTTCGGAGATTCAATAGTAGATCAGGGTAATAACAACAATTTAACAACACGAGCAAAGTGTAATTTTCTGCCTTATGGGAAAGATTTCATGGGTGGAAAACCAACTGGAAGGTTCAGTAATGCCAAGACTCCACCAGATATGATAGGTATACTAATATAATTGTTTTGTTTTTTTTAAGAATTGAACTTTTATATATTGAGTTTGAAGGGGGAGCCTTAATTAGAGCAACGGTAAAGTTGTGTTCGTGTGACCTATAGTCGCAGAGGCGGATCTAAAATTTCAAGATGATGGGTACACTATTGTGAAGAAGTGGATCTAGAATTTATATTAAACAGGCTTAACTTTAGTGTATTACCATAAATCCACTAGACTTTTGAAATTATAGGTTCAAAATTATATTCTTTTTGAAATTTTAATGATTTAATTTTTTCTCACACACACGCGCGCGTGCGCACACACACATACATACATATATA